GCATTTGCAGGGTATGTGAGACCTCAAAAAGTAAATTCTAACTTCTTGGTTGTTCAAGAGGTGTTTCAGCCTTGTTTGCAGCAATCCATGGTCATGAGCCCTCAGTCTTGCAGAGGAGATGCTGATTTGCCCTTGTCCTATGGAAATGCACCGAGCATCTCCGTTCTGCCCTCAGTTTGGATGGGGTGTTGCTGGCAGAGCTGAGGACACACAGTAGGGAAAGGGCATCGTTTGGCTTTCAAGAGTATTGAGAAAACCAGACAAAAACTCAGGAATTGTAATGAGCTGCTTTTATCTCTTCAAAAGGAGCAGAAAGAGGCATTTCCCTCCTGTGAAATTTTACCATCAGACTCTGTGCTAAAGAGTGTTATGTGAAAGAAAGTGCCGCTGCACGGCTATTGAACATGGCTTTAATAATAAATTGTGGTGAAGACAGAACTGGTTAATATCCTTTGAAGGAAATAGGAGCTTTTTGTGGCAAGGAACCATTTACTGTGGATTAAATCATAAAAAGTTTTTGACTGCAAAGAAAAGTCTGGAGATGGGGAATGGGATTTTCCTTCAGAAGCGAAGGTTTGTTTTCTGCTACAGCATATGTGGGCAGCAAATTCCTCTGTCTTCCTCTTTATTATTCCCCATTATGTTCCCTACCCTTCCGCCACGAAGCTTTGAAGTCTCATTTTTCAATATTGATATTTAACATTGCTCTAATAGAACAGGGCCAGCCCCATTAATCTCGGCACAGTGGTGGGAAGAGGTTAACAAGCTGATTGGAGGCTGTATTTTTCTCCCCTCCCGGAGGAATTGGTTTAAGACCTTCGCAGGGAAGTATTTAATGTGTTTTCATTAAGTCAGTTTTTCTTTTTCCTGCTGTAGTTTTGCCTCTGGACGTGGCTCCAGCAGCGATGCTGCAGTGGGGCTGAAGGGAAGGGGTTGGAAACAGAGGGGCTAAAGGTGAGGGGTTGGAAACCAAAGGGTTTAAAGATGGCCACCGCAGTGCATCGTGTTTGTAACTGCTTGCAAAAGGAGGTGGATTTAAGTTATGTACACCCGGGGTGTTCTGCTGGATCAGAACAAGGGTCTGGAGATGCCTCTGTGCACCACTTGAAACCAATTTTGTTTTTTTAATATATATATTTTTTCCTCAGTTATTCTTAAAACTTGGCTTTTGAGGTGGGTGTTTGTGAAAGTCTCTGCACGGGAAATTGCAGGGGAGAGCTTTCAGATGAGCGTTAGCACGGAAGCTGCGAGGCTGGTGGGCCACTGGTGGTTGTTCACATGGAAAACTCACAGCTTTTTGGATGCTGGGGTACAGATGTGCAGTCACATCTGCACGTCAGACCGTGAGCCTTCTGCACTCTGTGCTTTGTGCAGTACCTCGCTGGGGCTTTCCGTGCTCAGAGCTGCAGTGAGCCCTTGTACCGATGCTGGACACCTGCCCTGTGCCACCTGCTGCCCAGATCTGCAGTCTCCCAGAGCTCCATTTCTCTGTTAGATGAAGTTGGCCTCTGGATTTAAACCTCCTGTGAGGGACGCAGGCAGATGCACAGATGTGGTGATTTTCTTTAGGAAGCAAAGCTAAAAATAATAATGATTCATAAAAATGCTGTGAAAACGACCATTTTTTTTCTAGTGGATGGAGCAGGTAACATCCAATTTGCTGTGTGATTGAGCTGCCTCCACGTTTGGAGCTCTGTACAGATGACTTCTCTCAGCAAGCTGCAGTTTCATCCAGCGTTGTCGTTCAAAGCTGGTGTCTGCTGTGGCAAACTGGATGGTGTTATCTGACAGCTTGTTTGGCAGCTGTGATTGAAAAGAACTGATCTTGGGACTTACATTTACTTAAAAAAAAAACCACCTTCAGACATAAGTGCTCAGAGACGTGGGTCCCAGCACTGCCTGGGGGTCTCTTGCTGGGTTTCCCCATGTATTGCTCATTTGGGAGCAGGTCTTGACCAGTTCAGACCACTTGCTTATGCCCTCCCCAGTGTGCATATTCAATGCAATCAGGGTTAGTTTCTTTTTTTTTTTTTCCCCAACACATATGCAGGGAATGGTTTGGGCACTGGGTGCTCTGTTCCCATCCCTGCTGCTCACCCTCCAGGGTCCCCAGATCTTTGCAGAGCATGCTACTTAGGCAGGGTCGTTGTCTTGGAGCAGCTGTGGAGCATCAACTGAGCTCCCCCATGCCAGCAAGGGGGTCCCTGCTGCATGGTCAGGATGGCTCATGCTTCCTCTCAGTATGACTAACTCTTCGTGGTTAGGATGGCTAACATTTCATGGTCAGGATGGCTGATGTTCTATGGTTAGTATGGCAAACTCTTCATTTTAGGATGGCTGATGGTTTATGGTCAGGATGGCTAACTCTTCATGGCCAGAATGGCTCACGTTCCATGGTCAGGATGTCAAACTCTTGATGGTCAGGATGGCGAATTCTTCACGGACAAGATGGCTAATGTTTCATTGCAGGATGGTTAAAATTCAAGTCCTCCCACAGTTCCCACTCGCAGTCCTTCCCAGCTCAGTCCTGACCCATGCGTTTTCTGTGCCGCTGCCACTGCTTTCTTCTGTCTCAAGAAGAAAACCCCAAAGAACCGTTAGGCTGTGTCTGCGTCTTGGCAACTCGAACATGGGAACAGATTGTACTTCAAAAAAATGGCAAAGTTTCAAAATATTGTATTCTGTGAAGAAGAGACAAGGAAAATAAACTCCCCAAAGTGCAGATTTTATTTCACCAGAAGGCGGAGGGCTTTTAATATTTATTTGGGTTTGTCATCTTGCTACTTAGTTCTTCTGCTGACACCACTTGTGAACCACGGCAGGATTGAGTGCTGCGCAGTCTATTCTGATTCATGTTCAAATGAGGGTAATTTCCATTCGGTTCATTTATGCTCTCCTGGAGCCACCTGAGAGCAGCTCGTGAGGTATGACTGCAGCACCTGAGGCTGTGCAAGAAAATCCATCAAGGAAAAAAAAACAGAGGAAAAACAAAGCAAATATATACTTGCTTCCCTTATTATTTTGGTGGCTGCGTGCACATCACTGCAGCAGTGTGGATGGATGGATGGCTGATGTGCAGAAGTAGTGGTGTGCTAAGAGATGGCTGCGGAGTGTTTGCAGGAGAAGTTCTGGCTTATTCCCATGAGCAGAATGAGGATGAAAATACTGCTTTCCTTGTGGAGGTGATTGTGTTGTTTGCTTTAACTGTAAGAGGATGCGGGCAGGTTTTGGAGGCAGAGGTGGGATGGGAGAATGGGAGACTGCCAGGGAACAGGGGTTGTTTGTTTGCACTGCAAGTCCTGTGTTTGTGAGATTCCTTTTTAAGCTAAAACATGACGACATCAAGAGCACCACTATGGATTTAGCATCCTGTTGGATCCATGCACAGCTCGGGCGAGAAATGGGACCTGACATAGCAGGGTCAGTTGTGCTCTGTTGTGCCTTCTGTGTGCAACTGGGAAATTGAGAAGTAAAAGGATCACAGAACGGCTCTGCGAGCTGTAGAAATTCCTACACTTGCCTTCACGTTTATTTGTACTTCCTTTCAGACCAGCTCCCACCTCTTGGAAACCTCTTGGAAAAATGGAGAGCTGTTCCTCATGTTTCTGAGTGACCTTGCTTCTTTTAGTTTGCCTTTTCTGTGTTGGACCGGGAGCTCCCTGGAGCTCCTGTTGGTTTTGTTGTTGTTGTTTGGTTGGTCGGTTGGTTTTTTGCTTTGTGAGTTTGCTGCTCTGCAGATTTCTAGCAACAATAGCAAGTGTGCACGGCGGTTTCCCATGAATGCTTTTCCCACGAGGTGTCAGCTGGGCTGCAGCAGCCTGTCCCATCCTGGAGTTGCTCGTTGCCAAGCGGAGCGAGCGTAGTCTTGTCTTTTGGAGCAAACAGACAAACAACAACAAATAAAAAGTTGGCAGTCTGCATTGACTAATTGCTTCAAAAAGGTCATTTTCAGAGCTGGGTGCTTGCACTTTGATCTCGCACCCCTCCAGCATTGGGATGCACACACTTCTGTCGACCTGGGCTTGTGTCAAGGGGAAAAACAAACTCAAACATGAAGGGGAGCGTTGAGAATAAGGAGTAAAACTCATGCTTAAAAGAAAGAGTAATTGATATAAATTGTTAGGTTGAAAATGTTTGATGCCTAAATTAGATGCCTGTGCCTTTTTGGGGGGCACATGGGGTTTTCTTACACACCCAAACAGCCAGAGGTTTACCTTGGGGTTTTGGTGACATGACTTATGTTTTCAGGTCATTCTATCCATGAATTCAAAACCCTGTGTTGAAGTGTGGCTGTATACGTTTAGTCATAAAAAGCTTCTTGTGTTTCTCTGTCTGCCTGGCTCTCGTGTCTGCCTGCTGGACTCCCTTTCCAGCAGAGGCTGCATTTGAACTGCTTCAGAGCTTGAGCTGCATCCAGCTCAGAATGGCTTGGCCGGTCAGCATGAACAGAAACAAATGGCTTTGAAGCCTGCAAACTTCATTCTGCTGTATTTTTGCTGGGTTTGCATAACTTTAATGACCAAGAGGTGAAACGTCAGTTTGAACAGAGTCAGAATGTAGCTCTGGACGTTCAGATTCAATCTGAAAAAGGTTTTTAATCCTGCCGGCATTCACAGTTATATATCTAGAATGGTTTAAAATCGGCCTAAGAAACATTTGAAGGGATTCTACATGGGTAGGGCTGACGGAGGAGAAATACCTTTCTTTTTGCATTTTCACATGGGCTGCCTTTGCCAGAGCCCTTGCCTGTGTTCCATACCAAGTTGGCAGCCAGACCGTGCAGGTCTAAATGAAGCGTAGCTGAACAAAGGCACTTTATGTTTTGAACTCTGTGCCCTGAGTCTACACCACCAGCCTGGCCTGGCATTTATGTTAAATAAGGTCAACAAATATAGGCAAGCTGTATTTCGCAAATTAACCACCAACCTCCTCCCACCAAAAAAAAAAAAATAATAATAATAAAGGCCTTTCTTTAATTCTGCCTCTTTCTTGTTTCATAGGCAAGAAGAGAAACCCTGGGCTGAAAATTCCTAAAGAAGCATTTGAGCAACCACAGACGAGCTCCACGTAAGTCACCCAAAGAGTAACAGGGAATAAAAAGCAAACCATGGGTCCCAGCTGCCTTCCAGTGTTTGTGGGAATGCTGCTGGGGCTCATCCCTGCAGGACTGGGTAATAAGACCCTGCCCGAGGACAGTGCCTGGGTTCACTGTTAGAGAAGGCTGTAATTAACAACCCTTGTATTTTTGATGTAGCCCCATTGCACCCTGCCTGTTGCTGCCATGGTCTGTGTCTCATTTGCTGCTTCGTGATGTGCCCATGGAAAGGAAAATATCATGAGCATCTGATCTTAACCCATGTGGCACTTCTTCCACCCAGATTGATTTGGTTGAGGCATAGAACCACCTTTTCCCTATCTATTCTGCCTTGAAAAAGAAAACACTGTGTTTTTATGGCAGTTTTTCCAGCTCCAAGCTGCCTGGCTTTCTTGATTCTTTGAGGACTGCCTTCTATCAGCCCATTACCTTGTACTGCTGATCAGAGCTCCATCCCTTTTTCCCTAAGGCAGTCCCTGGGCATTTTGGAGTAGCAGCCAGTGAATGCACAACATGAGAAAGCTGAGATCCCAATTTTTGCGTTCATTAGAGTGGGTCAGCTCAGATCCCATGCTGTATTCATGGCATGGGCAATGTTTTTGGCACAGACAATCAGTTCAGCATGCTGGAAACAAGGTGCTCCCCGAGAGCCCCACCCCTGGCAGTGCAGAGCTGACACCTTCCCTTCCCTGGGAGAAGGTGAAAGATGTGGTGAGAAGCTGAGCCCTCCCCATCTTGCCTTTGCTATTTCTGGAAAGGATTAATGGAAACCAGCTTTTGCTTTTGACCTTTATACCCACTTAGTCCATATTTCATATGGGCTGACAGAGATTTGGTGCTTGTCACCTCGCTTGCCTTTCCTAGGACCAGGCTGCAGTCCCAGCCTGCTGGAGGAGCACATCCCACACGGGGTATGGATGTGAGGAATGCCAGCTCCAGCAGCTGCCTCCCTGACACCTTTTTAGGATGACTTTGAGGACCTTGGTTGCATCTGTTGATCCAACAAAGCTAAGAGACCCACTAGGTGTGAAGGCTGCTGGTTTGCTGTGCAGGGGGATAGCTTGGGGGTTGTAAATACTTGTTGAGGGAAAACAGGCCCTTTAAGGAACATTTCACATCTTTTTTCTCTCCTGCAGGCCACCCAGGGATCTAGACTCTAAAGCCTGCATCTCTATTGGCGAGGAGGTAAGCTTGGGGGTTGTGGTGAGGAGGAGACCTTTGGGGACTGGTGACCCTCCTTCTCCAGGCAGGCTGCTGCTGGCATTGCTTCCTACTTAACTGCAGCCAAAATAGGGCAGGTTGGCACACCCCAGCAATTCACATGTGCAGCCCTGGGGCAGCTGCAGAACAGCCTGCTGGTGGTCCTTGCTACTGACCATGCTCCAATTGTTCACCCATCACTCCTGGGTCCCATTTGTGTTTTCCACCTTGGAAATTCCTGCCCTGACTTGGATAAGGTGCAGCTAATCCCCTGGAAATATCCATTACAATCCAAGGGACTGCTAGCAGCGGATTTTACTCTCCTTTGCGTCTGCTTTGCTGATTTAAAAGCCTTCACCCAAATTATTTCCCTTTGCTAATACTAGAGGCCTTCTCCTCGAGAGTCTTAACTTAGGGTAGATCTTCCTGTCCTGGAAGTGAAACCTTCTGACAGCATGGAAACCTGTCCACCTGATGCTATAAAAACACAGCAGGAAAAAAAAAAAAAACATCCCAAACCAAGGACAGCTGTTTTGATACGAGAAAATGGCCCAGCAGCATTCAGCAAAACGCTTTAAAGCCGGGCAATAAATTTATTAGGTGCAAAAGATAGGCTTCAGTGTCAGCGAGTTAATTTATGAAGTGAAATACTAATGCAGAGGTGTTTTATGTCGTCTATCTTTGGATGCTTTTCTTTCATTTTGGATCTGGTATTTTCCCTGGCATGGGGAGGAGCTGGGAGGTGGACAAGAGTGTGAGATGCCTCAGGAGCACAACGGTGCAGCCCAAGGCAGAGCAGTGCTTCTGCTGGAGCTGCATGAAAATCCCTGCTCCCTGCAGTCCCAGGAAAGGGGAACATCCATCCCAGCCCTCCCTGTGCTCTGTGCGTGGAAGCAGACAGGCAGTCTTCTAAAACACAACACTTGGGCTTTCTTATGGATGCAGATCTGTGGCTATCTCAAAGAAGCCAGTGTGCCATGGCTTGAATTTCCCACGGACCCATCACTTATTTGTCCAGCCAGTTCCTTTAGGATGTGCTCCCCTCTTCCTACACTCACCCCAATCCCTGGAGAAATCCACTTTCCCCTTCTCCCTTTAAACTTCCCTGCTAATTGGAAGAGCTCGGAGCACGTCAAAGTGCTTTCCTGGAGAGGGTCCCATGGAACAGTAGCAGCAGTGTCAGGCAGTCAGCGATGCTTAAATCAAGCAGAAATATTGAGGAGGGCTCCTTGTGCAGGGGATGTAGCCTGAGCACAGTAACACAGTGTATGGGCCCTTGCAGGCACGGGTCGGACTGCAGGATTTTTCTGCTGCGCAGGCAAAAAGCGGTGTGGGATTATGCGCTGTGAATCAGTTCATTATAACCCGCTTCTTTCTGTAGGATGATTGACTGATGTGGTGGTGCGTTCAGCAAACAGAATGGCTGGTTTTAGTAGCGAGAGCATATTTTAAAGATCCAAAAATAATAATAAGCAAAAAAAAAAAATAAAAAGAAATAGGGCTGCTGCACAATATCGCAGCAGAAGGGAGAAGGGCAGGTTAAAATGCAAGGCTCCAAACAAAGTTATCCTTTGTGTAAGGCCAGCAGAAGGAGACCTCCAAGGCTAGACAAAATAAATCCTTTGTGGTTTACAATCGGGGCACACTCGGCTAGCTTTTGGGCCATCTGCAGGCCTGAAGAAATAAGCCTTGAAACAGATCAGGGATGCTTCCTTGAGTGTTTGGGGGAGGAGGAGGAGGGAGGAAATTTAAAAAAAGAAATAGGAAAATTGAAGGTGATTCCAGGCGGGAGGCTGCTGGGGGGTTTTCCATCCCATGTCCTAACGGATGGGGAGGCTGCAGGTGAAGGGTGGGAGCATGCAGGCGGCATCCCACCAAGGAGTGCTCCTTCCTGCATCTACCCCAGAGCTCTGTTAATTACTGTGAAGTAGTTAACCCTCCATACAGCTGCTGGGGGCCATGGTTTTGTTTGTAGCCTCATGGAGCGGATGGGGAGGTACCCAGTTGAGATGAATTTACGTGCTCGGGGTTAGGTTGTAGGGCAATGATGCTCCTTGCAGCCACCTTCTTGCTAATGGCTTTCTCCCTGCAGAACTTTGAGGTGAAAGCTGATGACCTGGAGCCCATCTCTGAGCTGGGACGAGGTGCATACGGGGTGGTGGAGAAGATGCGGCACATGCCTAGCGGGCAGATCATGGCAGTGAAGGTAGAGTGAGCCTCCATGCTTTCTGTGTGTGTTGTATGGATGCCTGGACCAATTCTTTCCAATTGGAATCTTCTTTCTTCTCAGGGGCAAGGAGTGCTGATTCATACATTCAGTAGATTCGGGCCCCATTTAACAAAAAATTGGGTATGCTGAAGAAGAATGATACATAATGTAGCTCAAGCATCACGGTTCATCTGAGTAGCAACAAGTCTGTCTTTGCTAGGATTCTAGAAGCAATTTGCCATCATTTCTTTAAAGTATGCATGTATTTTTCTAACAAACCTCAATTCAGACCTCTGCACAGTGCTTACAAAGAAGACTGTACTGTAAATTCAGTTGCATAAGATCATTTTCTTCAGCTGGTACTGTTTCAGTTTCTTTGGAATGGGGAATTTTTGTTGGCTTTTTTTTTTTTCTCCACATTTTGTCTGCTTCAGTGGGGTCTTGGTTCATGACAGGTTTGTTGATGCTATTATGAAAAGTTTTCATAACAGCAGCTTTGACTCATAAGCCTGCAGCTGAAGGAAATAGTCATGGGAAAATTTGTACCTTGGGAAAGGCCAATTTTTACAGGACTGAGTTTTAGCTCAAATTTCCTTTCAGAATAAGAAAAAAGGCGAAAAAAAGATGCAGAACTGGAAGCTATGAGCAAACTGAAAGGAAATTCTTAGCTCCTCTGTTGCGACTAAACCTTGCTGTTGATGCTGGGATGTGTCTCAGGGCCTCCATGCTCTGCATTTTCTTTTCTTGTTCACCATACTGCAAAAGATCTCTTTGAGAATGATGGAAGAAGATATGGCAGGGACATTCGGGCTATTGCATCTGCAGAACTAAATAGAATCATAGAATCTTAGAATTACAGAGTCATTAAGGTAGGAAAAGACAACTCAGATCATGTAGTTCAACCGTCAACCCATAACAACTATGCCCACTAAGCCATGTTTAATTCCATCATTATTGATCTTGAGTGGCTTTAACCAAGAAGCCTAAATGCATGTGTGATGTGTGTTGAGCCCATTCGTAGTGTTTCCCTACTGAGGGGCTGCAGGTGTTCCACACAGATGACATCTCTTCCCTGGATGACTGGGAAGTGCCCACATGCCAAACCATGAGGAGCACATGGCCTTGGGCTCTGGGAATGATGCCATCTTATCCCAAAGTCCAGTGATGGAATAGATGTGCACTACAGCTCCAAAAGTCACAGCTTTCCACCAGCCTAGAATTTGATTTCCTCCTCCCTTCTCCTCTCTTAAGTCACAGCTGTTGTAGAGTCTTTTGGTTGTTGTAAAAATGGGTGACTTTTGTAGGGAAGAGCAAAACCACCTGCATTTTGAACTGAGGTGAGGAGAACTCTTCATCCACCTTCTGTGGCGTTTGGGTGGCTGTGCTTGGGATGTGCCAGTGACAGAGGTGTGACAAAGGGTAAAGGCGTGATGTCAAGACATGGTGGTCAGCCTGGACACCACCAGCTACAGCAGCATGGTGCAGAGATGCTGCCAGCCAATACTGAAATGCTTTGTGTTCCAGCGCATCCGAGCCACGGTGAACAGCCAAGAGCAGAAGAGGTTATTGATGGATCTGGATATCTCCATGAGGACAGTAGATTGCCCCTTCACCGTCACTTTCTATGGAGCACTTTTCCGAGAGGTATGGCACCCTGCAAATTGAACATGCTGGATACCCTTCCAGGCTCTGAATTGCCTGGGCTTGCTCCACATGCAAGGGTTTAAACTAGATATGATGTATGGTAGGATTGGAATTTGCTCAACCTTGAGCTGAAGGTCTTTCATTTACTCTTATTTGGTGAGCAGAGAGGGGCTTGGTGCTGGATGTGTGTGGTGGGGATGCCCAGGTGCCAATGATGCTGATCTACAGCTTGATCTCTTAGTGTTAATATTGTCCTGAATTGTCCTTGATTTCCTCCACATGGAGTTAAAATATGGAAAGCAAGAAGTGCAAGATTTATTGAAGAGGTTTAAGTGTAGCTCTGCAGAGCTGAATGTTTCCCGACTGGGCATTTGCAGAGTGACCTGAGCATGTAAGGAACCTCAATCCTGATAACTTTCAGGACTCCTAAATTACAGAGACTCTGCTTTGGGAAGAGACAGCAGAAAATGAACTTTAAATGGTAGGGAAGGTGGATGGCACTTAATTCCAGCTGGGGAGACGAGAAGGGGAATGCCGAGTTCAGTTTTGCTGAATGACTTTTAGATGACAGAGAAAGAGGCAAACAGAACAGCAAAGGAGGACAGCGCTGATGATTGCACGTGAAAGGAAAGGGTGATCCATTCCATAGGCAGATATCTGCTTTTTTTATCCTCCAGGGAGACGTGTGGATTTGCATGGAGCTGATGGATACCTCACTGGACAAATTTTACAAGCACGTCATTGACAAAGGCCTGACGATTCCTGAGGACATCCTAGGGAAAATAGCCGTCTCTGTGAGTATGAGCAGGGCGAGGAGGGAAGGAAAAGGATGTTTCTTTTCTGAGCCAAGTCCTGCATCACCAGCCTCCCAGCAGTGTTTGCACTGGGCAAGGTCCACAGGCCAGCCCATATGGACGTTTCTAGGTGGCTTCCAGTATTTGGTCTTGGGTGATGTCATTTATGAGCCATAAATACCCCCCAAATGTGCCTGTGCACACTGCCTCTAAGAGGCGGCACAGTATTGGGTGTGGGGATGACCCCACAGCTCCTCTACCTTCCCATTAGGATTCTGACACTCTGGGAGATCCCTGGGTGCCTGCTGTCACCTCAGGGTGCAGGACACAGGAGAGATGTAGCTCCTTCCCTCCAGGCAGGTCCAGTGAGGATGGGGGGGAAGGCAGTCAGCATTGCCTCCCCACCGCAGTGCTACCAGCTGTGATTCACTCTAGATTTGTTCTTTCAGATTGTAAAAGCACTAGAACATCTACACAGTAAGCTCTCCGTGATCCACAGAGGTAAGAGCCAGGCTGTGCTGCTGTTTGTCTGTCCCATCAGCCTCCTGAGGGCTGGCCTCGCAGCCGGGCGCAGGGCTCCCAAAGTACCCCAGATGCTCTCTTTTATGACTAGCAAAAGCCACGTCAGAAGAAATGTCTGCTGATTTGCTCTTTAAAAACTCCAAGCTGGAGCTGGAGCTGGAGCGGAGAAGTGGGCTCCAGCCTGATTGTGTTGGCAGAGAAAGAGCTGTTTGCTCTGGATTACGTTTCCCTAATCCGTGGTCTGAATCCACGGTGTGCTTCACTACCTCTGCAAAATTAAAGCAGACTTTTCCTTCTGACTTTGCTGTGCTCTGGATCAGGCTTTGTGCAGGCATCTCCATTCTGGCGGTGACTTAACCATCCCCATCTCCTTCTGTGGGCTTCCCCAAACACTAGCTGGGCAGTGTGTTCCCTACTTAACATAGAATCATAGAACATAGCTTCATGTGAACTCTTGAATATTCTCTTTAAGCATTTCTCTTTTTGCATCTCATGGATGCCATGAAAGAAAGAAATTTGCAGCGTTGCTGCTTGATCCCTTTCTTTTTAAAGAATCATTTTCAATTTATCATAAGGAGGAAAAAGCCCTCTCTGGAGTGTGATTGCTGGGCCAAAGGGTGTCCAAAGGGAACAGCTCAGCTCCAACAAGTGGTTGTGTTCTGTAGATACTGCGTGTGGCTGGAGGTTGAGCTCTGCCTTCTGTGTCGTTTGCATTGGGTGGAAAAATGCTGCTCAGCTTCTGGATTTCTGTTTGCTTGTTTGATTTCCACTGAAAACCATCTTATTTTGAGATAATAACAGATGGGTGAGAATCTCAGCTACCTGAGGCTTTTGATGGCAAAACACTGACGAGAGAGTGGTTGTTAATAATCTGTAATCCACTCAATTCTGAAGAGCAGGACACAAAGCAGCTTCTGGTCTCCTTTTCAGCTCTTCTTTTTCATAGTTTATCACGTGTAGGTAGATGACCTTGTTGCAGAAGTGACCTCTTCTTTCTGGGTGTCAAGATTGTTCGGGGTGAGAGAAGATAGAAGGGCTGTGTTGGGCTTATAAATCAGATCAGCAAAAGGACTTTGTGCTGAAATTCCATCTGGGAGTAGCCCAGGCAGGGAGGATTCCCCACTGTGCAGGAAAGCCCCTCTTCTCCAAGCTGGATATCACTTTTGGGTTCTTTCTGTGCCTTAATTTCCCTTGCTGATGGTGATTATAACCACCTTCATGAGAATTATGCAAACACGAAGGCACCAAGGATTACAGGGCCATGATGGGAAGTAGATAAATCTGGCAGTAATAAATAGCTGAGACGCTTGCCTGATTTCCATAAGGTGTGGAGCACCCACACGCCTGCTGCTGTTAACACTGCCTTCAAGCTTGGGATCTTTAAATTTAGAGGCCACTTCTGAAATCTTGATCCTCATCTCAGTTTATTGCTTCCTTCTTCCACTGCAACCCTCACTGCTCTTCACCCTCTCCTGTCTGCCTGTCATCCCTGCCCTGTGGGTTTTCCTTGTCCAGACACGAGAGCAGCCTCACTTGGAGGCTCAGCAGTGCTCCAGCCTTGCACAGACATTCCCTAGAGATGTCTTCAGCTCTGCAGAGCTGTTCCCTGTGAGTGCTCTGATGTCCGTGGCCATCCCTGGCTTGCTGGAATATAATGGCTGTGTACAGGGTTTCTTCTCACCTCCCCAAACCAGTGAGAGGAGTATGCAAGTGAAAGGACACACGCAGGGCATACAATAGGCCCATGAGTCAGTCACCTGGATGTGCAGTCCCTGCAGCCAGCTGGGCTTCTGCTGTGTGTGCAATGCTGGGGTTTGCGTGGGCACCTTTGGTGCCCTCTGCTGATAGGAAGCTCTTTGGCTTTTTTGGCTTGGCTCAGCCACCCATGCGTGACAGTGACTGTGGTATGTGTTCCTTCTTGCAGATGTAAAGCCCTCTAACGTGTTGATCAATACGCAGGGGCAGGTGAAAATGTGCGATTTTGGGATTAGCGGTTACCTCGTTGACTCTGTTGCTAAAACCATGGATGCAGGATGCAAACCCTACATGGCTGTAAGTTGAGATGCTGAAAAGCTGCATGTGCAAGCTGCTGTGGGACAGCCAGAGGAACATGAGCCTGGGTGTCAGGTCGTCCTAAAGGGAGAAGGATCAGCCACCAGCCTGTCCTGGGGCCTCGTTTTGGAAGACATATCCCTGAAACTGCTTGTGAAGGAGCAGAGATAGAGGTCAATCTCACAGGTCAAATCAGGTCTCCTGGGCACAGCTTCCTGCTGCCTTACTGCCTCCCCATGACCTTGGGAAGGCTCTGTAATTACTCCCTGTTGCACTTTTGCTGTTTGCCCTTTTGGGGATAACAGTACTCTCCTGGGAGGAAAACACTCCTTCGGACTTGCTTTCTGTGGAGTGGATGCACAGAGTGAGCACAGTCCTGAGAAACTGAGGCTCATCACTCCTTTTTGTGCCAGATATGCTGCATCACTTGCATCACCCCATTCCCTGGTGCAGGTACCAAGTGTTTCTGGTGACCCATTTCACTGCTGCCCCTACTGACAAAGATGTAGGGCTGCATCTGGTGCCACAGTGGCCAAGGGAGCAAGCTGCAGCATAGGCTATGTGGCACTGGCCTGACATCTCTGAAAGACCTCCTTGAGGTCAGAGAGCCCTGGGTGCAGGCACTGCACTGGGTCCGTCCCTCTTTCTTAACTGCTTTACATCTCTTTGCAGCCTGAAAGAATTAACCCGGAGTTGAACCAGAAGGGGTACAGCGTCAAATCTGATATCTGGAGCCTGGGGATCACGATGGTAGGGGGATCACAATGGTAGGGAAATCTGGGGCTTGCAGCAGTGCTGGAGGCTTGGCTGTGCTTTGTGTATTTATTTTCCTCCCCATATCTCCCTGACACTGATGGCAGTGGTTCCCTGGGAATGTGATAGGGTGGGAAGGGGTACACAGCTCCACAAGATACCACTAAGTACGTGGTAGGGTCAAGGGTAAGGGGGATGGAGCTGCTTTGCAAAATCCTTGCTGCTTTGGATGCACTGGCATGGCAGGAGTGGCCCCCAGGGATGTCCAGCCGTTGGCCAACCACTGAGTGTCCAACCTGTGGCTGTCCTTGCAGCATGCCACCCTGATGGGGACAGCTGTGCTGTGGTGGTTGCAGGCAGCCAGGAGATGGCAGCATGGGATAAGGCAACAGTGTCCATCAGTGCAGCAGGTTGGATTCCAATCTGAAACAGCACTCCCAGCACTGAGTGCTTAGTAAAGTCTTCTTGGAGGAGGAGGCATTGGGTGTTGATGATACGTTTTGCACACCAGGAGAAGCAGTGTTTAGGGGGAGGCCATCAGTTGCCTTTTTATAGCACAGGTACCTTTTGCAATATGGCTTTGTTGTTTGTTTTTGTTTTTAACTTGAAACCTCTCCCCAGCGACATGCAACAGGATGGCAGTGGGGAGGACTGAATTTGGAGGCTGCTGGGTCTCCTCAGGACTTCCTTATATACTGGGGGATGTAAAATGCAAGATGTGATGCCTTGTAGCCTGGTGGGGTGATGAGATGCCACGAGTTTATGCAGAGCCAAACCATGGGTGGTGTGGGTGCATGGGTGGGAGCACAGGCTGTTCAAATCCTATGGGGTGGCTGTGGGGTGTCCTCCAGGGCTGAGGTTGGGTGCTGTCTCCCCAGATCGAGCTGGCCATCCTGCGCTTTCCCTATGACTCCTGGGGGACGCCCTTCCAGCAGCTCAAGCAGGTGGTGGAGGAGCCGTCGCCGCAGCTCCCAGCGGACAAGTTCTCAGCAGAATTCGTCGATTTTACCTCGCAATGGTAAACAAACCACCCTTCACCCTCTCCTCTGACCCTGCAGGTCCCCGCCAGCTGAGGCTGAGGAGGGCAGGTGCTGTCCCCATCCCCGCATCAAGGGGACAACCTGATGGTTGTGGACCATAACCTCTCAGGGTAAGGGGCTGTGCCTTCACACCTGCAGGACTGGGGCTGAGCTGCGCTGAGCCTTGGCACTGGGCTGGGACTGCGCGTCCTTGGTGTGATGGTGGTGGCTGCGATGGCCTTGCCGGCTTAAGGACCGGGCTCAGCCTTTTAGAGGACAAGGGAGGAAGGGATTAAGGAGGATTTCTCAGCTGGTTGTCTCTGTATGAGCAGCACAGGGTTAGCAATGGAGAACAGGAAAGGTGAGCAGAGCCCAGAAATGGCCGTGTCCTCCTGCCACCCTGCTCCAGAGGGAAGCAGCACCGAGGGCAGGCACAGCACAGAGCTTGCCCCGCGATGGCCCCATCCATGGCCATCCCGCTACCGGGGCCCTCCGGCTGCTGCTCTGTTTTCCCCAGGATTCAGAGCTGGAAGCAGCAGGAGAATTTGGCTGCGTCGTAGGAAAAGGGCTGGAGCAGATGAGCGCTGTCTGGAGGCCGGCAGCGCTGCGTGAAAGCTCAGGCTCTCCCAGCACCCGAGGAGACTCACAGCTGCCCTCGTCGTATGGTTCACAGAGAGCTGGCAGAGGCCCCACGGCTCCTGACTGCTTCTCCCTCCAGCTTCCCTGGAAACCGCCTGGGAGGCATTTGTATTTTCCAGGCGCTGCAGTGCCATCCGCTGCTTGCCAAGTTGGCAGGTGGATGGTGGTTTGCGGGGCAGCCAAGAAAGGACGGCAGATCGACAAATACAGAAATGTGAGCCTGTTCCTGAGCTGCCAGTGTCAGGGCCTGGAGCCCAACAGGCTCTGCTGTGACCCAGGAAGGGGATTATCAGCCACTCCTGCCTGGGAACTTTAAGTACCGACACTCGGATTCTTTGGAGTCTTGTCCAAACATGTTTTCGAGGTCCCTGTATTGGTCTGCACCAACCCACACTGGGGAATACCTGCACACACCCACGCTGCTCTGTGTCTCTGGGAGGTGGGAGCTGGCTTGGAAAAACCCCTCTTGCAGAATGCCCACCATTTTTGCAAGACCCACGCTGGGATTTTGGACCAGCTGCCTTTCTCCCGTGCTGCTGGCTCACTGCTTGTTATTGCTAAGTTGCCTGTTTGTGCCAGGCAGGCTTTTCTTCCCCACTGAATGGAGGCATATTTTGCATTTGCAAGCATGGTTTCTTGCAGATATTGCCTTGGGCTGATTTAGGAACAAGAAATCCTCTGCTGTTTATGGTGGTTGCAGTGAGAAGAATGACCCTGCTGAGCAGCACTTATATCTTGAAAGCTTGTGCTTTGTGGGGCATATGGCTTTTCCTCTCTCTGCAAATCCTACCATCTAGGATCACTGAAGGCCCCTCAGCTCAGTAGAGTTGCATGGAATCAGGAGAGCATTTTGGTTGTGGACTGTAGTGGTTTTGTGCTGTCTGACAGCAGACCATGTCATATCAAGTCAGTGTATGAGGGCTGGTTTAAGGCTATCTACAGTTCAACAGGTGGCAGAGTGAACTGCACCACATGCTGTGTGGGGTGGTGCAGCTCTCATGACCTGTAGCTAATGCAGGGAAGTTCCTGGGACGTCTGAGCTAGCATCAGATCCAAATACGCTCTTTGTTCCCAAAGATTTACATGGGTATCAGTAAAGTGTCAGCAAATTTCCTGGTATTAGTAACCTGGGAATAAGGGTTTTGTTTGTAGAGGGTCTAAATTAAGAGGACTATACCCAAATCCTGCTTCTGAACACGCCCAACCTTGAAATGCACCTTAGCATCTCAGCTTGGGTTGCTTTTCAGCCCAGAGGATGTGACACATCCCGTACCTCCAGTTCGTCGATATTGGCACGTATCGTTACTAGGTTCCTCTGTTCATTCACAACATGACACTGAACACGAGCCCACTACACACAGCAAGCAGGAAATATCTATTCAGTGTGTGTACTCTGCTTCCTCTGGGCTCCGTCAAATCCCAGCAGAGGAGCAACTTATCATCACCGAGGTTCTCACTTTTGTTTTGCTCAGTGTGACACCTTTTCCCCGCCACCGACGTGTACGTGTGTGAAGATCTTTTCAAGTTGCTCCAAGTGTCTTTCCCCTAAATACACTGTCAGGAAGTGAGCAGCGATTACGTCCTGTCTTTTAAAAACTATTTTCTGCAGGAGGGAAACCAAAATAACTTCCAGCTACAACTCTCCAGAGCCATCTGTTGTAGGAGAGGAGAAAAAAGGATGTCCCATGTAACCGTCCCCATTGATAACAGCGGGCTGATAAACAAATAGTTGTACATGTGCTTTGGAGCCACTCGGTCGCCACTCCCAATCAAAGGTTGCAGCCATACCTGTAGCAGCTGACCTACTGGATGGTACCCAAAAAACCAATTGTATCTGTCCCCAGCAATTGGCAGAGCATTAACCGTTGTGAAGTGTCTGCGGACCCAGGGCCTAGAGCACTGGTGTGTGTTTGTTGCAGGTGTCCTCAATGGCTAAGCTGCTTGCTTAGTGTATGGATAAGTGGCTGAACTTACTCTACAGGGACTTGAAGCCTTGCTTTTGTCACAGTGTGATTTTATGGGCTTGCTTAACTGTCATGCAGAGTGTAATGTTGAGCAATTTTCTTTTTTTTCTTTTCATTAAAGCTTGAAGAAGAATTCCAAAGAGCGGCCAACATACCCAGAGCTTATGGTGAGTATGCCTGGATTAAACAGTGTATTGGTTCAGAGCTGAGGTGGCTTGTAATGAAATGCTGAACTCAGGGTTCCCAAAAGTGGCTTGTGATTTGGGATGCTCAGCATCTCAATTTTTATAACAGAAATGAGGATGCTGGCACTTCAGTGTCTTGGGAAGGTGCTGCAAGACAGAGATGCTCTTGGAGGTGTCAATCAAGTGCTATTCCAGTCAGATCAGTGGAGAAAAAGTGTAAAACAGTGATTTGCTAAGGGATAAGAATGAGGCTGCAGAGAATCATTTAGCAAGGGTAAAGTCCTCCTCTTGAGTTTGTGTGATGGCTTCAAACACTGAAGCCAAGTGCTTACAACGTGAGGGCTGCAGGAATGGAGCGGTCTCTTGAGCTCTCCTGTCATGGTGTGTTGGGAGAGGAAACTTTGGACAGAGTGATTTCTGAATGTTAGGGACAGACACAAGTCTGTGACTAATAATTCCGGTTATTGAGTTTTGTCTGCTGCTTAGAGACTGTGAGCATGTCTAGGGAGGAGGAATAACTGAGGAAGAAGATGCTGATAAAGGCTCACAACGAAGGAAATGTAGAGCAGTGCAGGGCTTCGAAGTCAGATGCACTTAACTGCAGAGGAACTTCCAGCAGTGCAGACGTTGACGTAACTCAGTCAGCACTGGGCTGGAGCTGGCACAGGATGGTCTGTGCTGAGGTTTTTCTGCCAGAGCTCCACAGCTTCATGGCCTGTCTCTCTCCTGATGTTGTGGTATTGATCCTGGTGCTGCTAAAAGCTGACCAAAAGCAGGGGAGCTTGGGAAGCCAGTGTTTCACTCAGGCATCTCATCTCTTTTTCACTGTCATCTGATTGACAGCTAAAGGCTGGAAAGTGCCTAACTTTGTGCCCTGGGTATTGGTGTCTCCTGCCCTTAGGATGTGCATTGTGTCACCCAGGGGGTGACATCCCCAGCCTCACTGCTGCTCTGCTTCAAGTTGTTGGGACCCCCATGGTGCAAAGGTGCCAGGGTTGAAAGTGTTCTCTGGCTGCAAGACATGCCAGAAATCGACGCATCTTTCTAAAGTGAATTGGAAGCAATAAATAATTCCAGTGGCATTTTTTGCTGGGCCCTGTAATGCAGTTTTTCTATATATAGATCTATTTACACACAGTTTGCCCAAATACTGGTTTCAGAAAAAGGAGGCTTGAGTTTTATGTTGTTTTCTTTTTTTCTGTTTGTTTTTGTTTTTTTTAATTACTACTGAATAAACACATACATATTTTAAGTGTACTTCTGAACTTTGCCAAATGGCCTTTTATCAAAAGGTTCACCAGCTCAGCTCTGTCTGTTGCAGCATTAATACCCATTGGCAAGCGAGTGCATTTCTATTGAATTAGGTTCTTGGATCACCTCTCCAGAGTATCTCAATGCTGTGGTATTTTATGGCTGACATGAATGTTGTGAGGTCCTGTGGTTGAGGGTTGCTGTTCTGTTGTGTTTTTTTTTTTTAATCCCTCCTCCCTCTGTTATGGCATTAAGTTGTGGTACTGGATTGGACTTGCCATTTAGACCAAGACTGCTCCCTTGCTTTCCTGTGGAATTGAGGTTTCTCATGGAAAATATGACTCTGTGCTATCTTGAGCATCAGGAAAACTGATACGGATGCTTAATCTCATTTAAAAAACCACTTCCCCAGGTGAAGTGGAGCATGAAACTACTGCAGGACTCCTCCCCGGTGGTCTGCACATTGCAGGGAGCACTTCCCACCACCACGGGGGGGGTTTGTGCTGTAACTAGACTCAGACATTGCAGAGGGGTTGGGTTCACAGACAGACAGGGCTGGAGGGCACTGCTGCCACTCATGTCTTGGGTGTGGGTGCATCTGGGCTGTGGTGGCACTGCTTTGGGTGTGAGTTAGTTGGGGTGTGAAAGCAGTGGCATCTCGATAGGATAATCATACAGCAGGTCATTTGGGTCATTTCTCTGAATAACATTGAGAGTTATTCAGGACGTTTAATTCCCGTGACTGTCTGACCCAGGGAGACCTTAAATTATGTCTGAATCCTTACCACAATCCCTTTCTGTTCTATTTCCCACGTAACTGCGCTTCCTCTTCCTTGCTGCTGTGCCTTTGGCTTGTTTTCTGGCTGCTCAGAGCTGCCTCTGGTTGCTGGATAACTTTGCTCTCAAGCCCACCTTGGAAAGTCTCCTTTCTCTGCCCCTGTTCTCCCTCCACTTGTCCGCTGCCATAGATGTTTGACATAGCCAGCTCTCAGGGACTGGGGTGATGGCAGCTTTAGAAAACCCTACAAACCCCAAAATATCTTTAAAAATCCGTCTTGAGTGGAGAGAGTCAGGAATCAAACCAAGCTCCCCCAGGCTGTGTATGGGAAGCACAGCTATGTTTTACACAGAGCCGGGGTTGCCTGCAAGCCCTGCAGGGCCCCAGCTGCCATTTGGTTCTCTTTAACACTCTCAATACAAATAAATACAATTAACTGCCAAGACAGTGGGTGTCAAAGAGTGTTTTGGTGATTTCAGGTGGAAGCTGGCTTTGACTGATGCATTGCAGGCCCTGGTACAGAGTGAGTTGCTGGTGCTAGCAGAAAGCAGCTTCTGGGGGTATTCAGTTGTGTACTTTAATCCTTCCACATATTTTTCCATTTGCGCTGAAATGCAGGCAGGATTTTCTGGCAGGATGTCTTCCCATGTTGGTCACGATTAAGTAGTTAAACATACAGCTGGGGATGGCTTTCCAGCCAGGATGGCTTTCCTCTCTGCGGCATTTAGGGGTAAGGTAGCCATCTCCTGCTGTGAGAATGAGCAATTGCAGGGAAGAAATGAGACTCAAAAGTCACCAGAGGGTAAATACACAGATAAAGCAGGAAGCTGAGGGAAAACCCACTGCAGTCAGCCTTCCTGCGAGGTTTTCCCTTGCTCCCAGGCTGCTGGGCACGACGTGCTAGAGATGTTGTTCAGTACTCTCTGTTGCTTCAAGAGCAGCCCAGGGCAGCCCTCCTGGGCAGGGCAAGGTGGAGAGAGAGAATGCCAGAGCGTGGCACAAATCCACAGCCTTTGTGAAGCCTCCTAGAAGTGTCTCAGCTGCAAAACGTGGAAAGCCCAATATTATTGTAGAGTAATAGAAGCATTAAGGTTGGAAAAGACCTCTAAGATCAAGTGCAACCTCAGCCCACCCGCACTGTGTCCACTGAGCACATCCCTCAGTGCCACATCCAGGTTCTGCAACACCTGTAGGGGCAGTGACCCCAGCACTCCCTGGGCAGCTGTGCCAGTGCATCGCCACTCTTTCGGAGAAAAGTTTCCTAATATCCAGCCTGAAAATGATGCTTGCAACAGACTGTTTGCCACCAACTAGAAGACTGTCTGAAAAGACGTTAGATTCAGTCCTCAGCATTGTGAATAATAAACTTCTCTGTTGTTTTTTTTTTCTTCTTTTTTTTTTTTTCCCCACTCTTCTTCTCTTCCCAGCAACATCCTTTCTTCACCCTGCACGAATCCAAAGAGACAGACGTCGCCTCTTTTGTCAAACTCATCCTGGGAGACTGAGAACTGGACTTTGTATGAATTGCCCTTCTGTGGACTGGTGGGTGCAGGGGAGGGGCGCGTGGCAGGACTTGTCATGGAAGCACCAACAGAAAGTCGCCGTGTTTTGTTTTGTTTTGTTTTTATTCTGAGAAACCCCCCACCTCGCCGAAGTTTTTAAAAGGGTTCTTTGGTATCCATAGTGACATAGAACGAGCTGGTTAGTGAAATGAATTTTAATAAGGTTGGTAACCTTGAAACAAAAGCAAAACAACGACAACAACAAAAAATTAAGAGTGATTTACATATTTAATGACAGTCAAAACCCCTCTTCCTAACGTTTTCCTACTTCCCTTTCCCTTCCTCCCGAACCGGAATTTGCTTTGTCATGGTAATAGGTGCTATGGTAGTCATGAAGTTGTATGTAGATTTATATTTTGTCCCTTCCATTATTTTAATATTTATGTTAAGTGCTTGATGGAATAGATTTCTGTTTTATATGAGGATGAATGTGTGGTGATGATGATGATGCTAAATGAGGCCACAGCAAGCAATAGTCCTAGGGCTTTGCTGGGGAAAAAGATGCCAGAGGAAAAGAGGAAGAAGAGAAGTGTCTGTGTTGTGGATAATATTTAATGTGCATCCTATAAAGAATTTATAGACAAGGATCTCAGTTCAGCTCTTCGAGCTGCCTTCATAGGGTGCGAAGCAGCATTGCTGTGCTGGAGGGAACCCCGGCATTCCGTGAGGTCACCTCACCTCCAGAGACCATGCTCTGAGCCCAGGCAGCCCGATGCCCACGGTGCTCTGCCAGCCTCTGCACAGGGAAAGCCCATGCCCGATGTCCTGCCCTTACCCTGCAGGACTGGGCAGGTGATGAGGTCCAGGGTGGGAAGATACTGTTGGGTGAGTTTCTGGGATAGGAGTCCCAGAGGGAAACGACTTGTCCAGAACGTTGCACAAAAACCAGGAGGAGCCTGGTCCCCACCTGCCCTCAAGCCCAGCAGCGTTGCAGTGTCTGGGGCTCACCTGGGCTGGGGATGTGCTGCTTTGGGCACAAAAGGGCACTCCTCTCACCTCTTCCAGGTAAGAAAGGCAAACAATCACAGCGGGAGGTCTGAAAAAGTAGGGATAGCTCAGCACAGGTTTCCAGGGTTTTCAGCACTGCCTAAGCAGCAATCTCCCTGTGTTTGCGTGCAGACTTCAGGAGTGCTGCCCTGGAGCCTGTGCTGGCACGTGATTTGGGCCATGTCCACCTCTGGTTGTGATACTGGAGGCAGCCGGGAGTGCCGGGCTCCAACATGGGCTGCAGGTGTCCCCCCATCAGGTCAGCAGCTGGGAAAACCATGCAGGGAAACCACAGCCCACCTGTCCCAGGAGCTTGTTGCTGTTGGCCCGAGTCTGCAGAGAAAAGCTGCTAGCCAAGGGCTGGAGTGTGAAGGCTGTCTGGGTGGGAGGGGGAATATGGTGACCCACTCTGCTTTTAGGTAACAGGGTTTCTTTCCAGTGAAGGGGGGCCGAGCACTGCGAGGCATTACTGTGTCTGGAGCAAGGCCACTGGCAGGTGCTGGTTTGACTGAGCCAGACCCGCACAGCTACATTACCAGGCTATGAATCCTTTGCCTTTGCCCGTGGCTCCTTCCCCCAGCCCTGCAGGGTGCATGAGTGTATGGCTGCACTGCAGACTGTGTGTGTGCCTCATGCCCCTCTGCATGCTTCCCTTCCCCACCCATCACTTCTGCACAAGTTCTCAGAGCCAAATCCCAACTGGAAGCGCGCCATGCCCTGCAAGGTGGTTGTGCAGGATGTTATATACAGCCCTTTCTCTCCTAGCTTAGTGGCATCAGTCTCCATTGGTGTAGGTTGGATTTCAGGATTATCCTGAGCACCCGTCTGGGAAGTGATTTCTTGAGAAGGGCAGTATTTAGAGCAGGGAACCCTGAGTGGCAGGGTAGTACCACTGGTGCTGGGGGCACGCAACTCTTTGAGAGGTGCACATAGACACCAGTGCCTGGGCTGCTGCTGCCAGCATAATAACTGTGGCTGGCAGTGCCTGCTGAGGTGGTTGCAAACCCTACAACAGTGCTGCTCTGCCTTGGGACCTTATCATAGAATATCCTGATTTGGAAGAGACCCATAAGGGTCAAGTCCAGCTCCGTATCGAAGGAGATTCATCGATCCTTGTGCTCCTCCACTGCAGGCAGGGTGCAGGTGACTCCTTACTGCAAAGGGCTCATGGGTCATGCAGGCTTTGGGGAGGAGGTTCCTCTTCCTCAGGCCCTGCTTCACGAGCCTGCTGGCCCCCAGTAACAATAATCTCCATATTTCACTTTGCGTCGAGGAGAACCTTTCAGGTCACACTGTGTTGTGGGTGAAACACAAGGATGTTTTACTTCACTCTGTAATTTTAAAAGGCCTCGCATGGCTCATAATCTGCCCTCTCATATTCCGTGGTGTGTGTGTGTGTTTTCTCTCTCTCACTTTCTCAGAGTCACAGAGCTGTTTTGATTGATTGTCCTCAGCTGCAGCTGAAAGTCCGGCCAGCCAGTTTATGGAGTTGGTTCCAGCATCAATTCTCGCTTTGAAAAACATGACATTTAAAACCACCCTTTGGTTTTCCTACATATGGATCTGATGCTTTTGTTAAAGATTGTTTTTGCTACTTTTCTCCTGGAATATAAGTCTCATTTGGACACCGCATCCTCTTGACCTCACAGCACCTTTATTTCAGTGCCATTATAATTGACAGGTTGAATTTATGAGATACTGTCAAAGTTCAGTATTAATAGCAGATATTAATGTCACCAGCGTTTTCCAATAGAAAATTAATGTCAGTGTTGTCTGCAGCTAGTAACCCTCTAAAATGATTCCTGCATGCCTCAACACTACATGCTGAGTACTTTCTTTTATGCCTTTTGCTCTTGCAATGCTTGGGCTGTATGATTCCTTTGTTTTAATGACATTACAATAGAGCATGCAACAAATCACTTCACTTCCTCCTGATTCTCCATGACTTTGTTCCTTTAAAAGTCATTTACGTCAGCCCAGAGTAAGTGTGAATCTGTATGGCCAGTGTGAGTAAAACCAGTGATCTGCATTGGTTGTCACTGAAAAGGTACTTGAAGGAGGAGAGGAATGCAGAAGCTGTATCTACATCCCTCTTTGTGGACACCAGGCTTGGCCTGATCGAGGGTATTCTTAGAGAGAAGCCTGAGCTGGTGGCCTCAGAGCAAGGAGGAGAGCTAGAGTCTCCTCTGCAAGGTTGCAAAACAAAAATCAGACTCTTTTCCATTTGATTGTAAACTCAGTAAAGATGAAAGGGTTTTGTTCAGTACCCAGAATCATTTTTGGATGTAACCTGAGTGCAGGTTTGGCTGGGAGAGGCACGATTTGTGGGATATTTAGCCTTTCCCAGCAACCATGCCCCATGCCCTGGTGTTGAGGCTCGAAGCTGTTCTTCTAAAGGCTCCTTTGTCTTCAGACAGTGCAGAACTGTGGGCAGCACACAGGGTGTTAGATTGTCTCGAGTCAGGATATTTAAATTGCAGAAGCAGCAGGTCTCATTCCACAAACCTGAAACAAACCAAAACACCCCAGGGAGTAAAGAGGAGTGAAAAGCTGCCCAGAGCTGAGCACTGAGCCATGGCTTGGACCAGCAGTGTGAATTAATTCCAGCACAGTGAGACATTTGCAAGGCAGGGCCTCTCTGCTGCTCTCTTTTCAGCCACAGCAGTGGTGATCTGGCTGTGTGAGACATGCATAGCCCATCCTCATGGCAGGAAGAGGGAGACCACAGGGGCATGATGTTCATCATCTATTTTCTCCAATGTGCCAAATTCCTTACAACTCCTGACGTTCTTGCGACCTCCTCCATGCTTGAGGCTTTGCCATTTCTAGGGGTCTTGAACTGTGGCTGGCAGAAAGGCTTCTTTCTGGGTCTCCAAAAGCCCACTGTCCCTTAAACTTGATGGGGAACTTGGAGAGCATTTGCTGGTTACCGTTTTTAAGGGCCACCCTGCTGTGGTGGGTGGAACGTCCATCTTCTCTGGGGGTTTTCCAGAAGTTCACACAGATAGCTTCATATTGTATGCCTGCATTTTTCCCTGACTTCTGTTGATTTTAGTGGCAAGGAAGGAGGTTGGAGAGGCAGGACTGCTGTTTCTGGAGGCTCTAGGTGGGTAACTACTTAGAAATAGCACTTAAAATAACTGAGTGCAGTTAAGCTCGCTGTTCTTTGACTTGGGAAGGAGGTGGTTGTGTGCTGTTGGGGCAGTGTTGGGTGCATTTTGACTTGGTGGGAAGGGACTCCGGGGCCCTCACCCATGCGACGTTGCAGTGCCTAGTTCCAAGGACAGAGATACCCACACACACAGCATTAGCCAGGATTTCTCCATGTTTGCAGAAGCAGAATATGTACCTGAACATTTCCCTCCTTTCCTAGACGTTTTGGAAGAGGAAATCCCACTCGGCTAATGCAGCATTGCTTTAGTGGCTGGTCTGGTGTAGTTCAGACAAGGTTCCCACCAGCTCCCTTGTTTAATAGGCCTCTTCTTTATTAAAAACAAAACCCAAACTCCTCTCTCAGAAAAGCCAGCCAAGATGCTCTTTTTTTTTTTCCCCCTCTCTTCCATCTTGTTCCTCTTAGAGGAACTCTGGGAGCCAGTCTTGGTGCTTTCACTCTTTCACATGCCAAAGATTGCTACATCCCTCTTAGTTATGCTCCTGCCAAACCAGATCTTATAGTCTTGCCTCAAGAATCATCCACTTCCCTGCTCCTTGGGGTTCCTTTTGTTGCTGTTGCTTTTTCATTGAATTTCCTCATGTTTATTGACATGTCTATTGTTGAGCTTCCTGGACACATGCAGCTCTCTTTTTCAGATACAGAGAAAGACAAATAGTTGCCTTCGCTGGTCAGCCCCTGCTGTTGGGGAAATACTGCTAGTGATACGATTCTTGCAGGTGGGGATGGCTCTCATTTAAAGCTAGGGTCACGGAGGGTGTAAACTGGCATTGCTCCATTGGCTTTGCTGGAATAAGGCCAGTTTTGTCCAGCTGAGAATCTGTCCTTAATGTCTAAACAGTTATTACATACTAATAAAGATTAATGATTGTAAATCCCCATGGATTATACATAAAATGGCAAGTTTCACTCATTAATCTTTATTGCCATATTATAGCTGTTTATGTTAGAGGAGTTATCTCTCTCTGTTCTGAGCATGCACTTAGGAGAAAGGGGCTGAGTGTGGGGGAGATGGTGGGTGGACATAACAGACCAGATGTCCGTGTGTTTTATAGTCTGTGTCCTCTCCCCCAAGTTACTTATTTCCTTGAAAGCCTTTAACCAGCAGCAAAGGATGTATCACAGAGCTTTGTCTGCTTCTCTGGCCTCTGGCTGAGCTATAAAATCCAGATTGTTTCTGGTGAGAAGGGATCAGATCTCCTAATTAATATTTCAGCTCAGCCTTTACTGGAGCAGATGGATAATATGAAATTTGACGAGTGCTCTGGCAGGCCTGAGCTCTGCAGTGCACTGAGATTCACTCTCCTGGACTGTGGCTGGAAGAGATACTTTCTGCGCACTATGAAGCAGTGTTTCAGGCTGAAAGGATGCAGCTCCTTCACGGAACCCTGCGCTATAAAAGCAGTTGATTTTGTTACTAAGAAGGGCCAGAAAAAGCTTACTTGAATCTCATCTTTTGTGTTTGGAGACAAGCATAGATTCAGCTTGTTGGTGATGCCAGTGGTCCGCACTGTATAAATTGAAGGGACTGCAAAAAACTGCAAGGGTGGTTTTATGGCATAGGGACAAACTAAGTGCTTTGTTGAGCAGCTGTTGTTTGTCTTCTCTGCCAAGGAAGAGCTGAAGTTGAGTGAGCAGAGCTCAGCAGACAGAGAGCAATGGATTTAGGTGATGCATTTTGTCTCGTATCCTAGATGCCACTGTGTCCCCACTGCCTGCAAAAGAAACAAAATTTAAAACCCTAAAGAAAACCAGGGAAGAACTGCAAGTGAGCTGGTAGTGGTGCCTGTGTGGCCTTGTGCATTGCTGCTTCCCCCGTTGAGCTTGTCAACGAGTTTCATTGGGCATGAATGATGGGAAAGGCTTGGGAACTGCCTCGGTAGCTGAGAAAGAAGAGGGTAAATATTTTAAGGAGTAAATTCCCATCTTTTAGTTAGTTACGTTTATAACTGCCACAGGAACAAAGGAATCCTGCAGGACCTGTGCTGCAGGCAGTGTTGTTCCACTAGGAATGATTGTGGCTGTGACACGTGTTGCATGGCCTGCTTTAGTGCACTGCTGGATGGCTGGCCAGCTCGTAGCCTCCATTGACCTCTTCCCTACAGTCACAGTTACATTTTGCATTTTACTGTCTGGGATTTTACTAGCAGCTTTTTTTCTAGGTGGTCAGGCAGAGAGAAGGCAAAAGAAAGGGGCCTTTGGGAGAAGAAGGCAGTGCCTATATGCTATCCACCGCCCGCCCGCAGGTATCCAGCCAAGGTGAGAGCTTCCCCGAGCCGTTGGAATACTCCCTGACATCTGTTCTTACTTCTTCTCCATCTCAGGAAAAATCCCTGCTGGAAGCAAAGCAGCCCCATGGCTCGCCCTTGCCGGCAGCCAGCCTGCGGGCCGGGCTGCGTTTCCTTCCTCGAAAGGCTCTTGGGTTTCTCTAAACGATGGGGCACCACTCCAGCGGCTGCGAGGTACCGCGAGGATAAGCTGGGAAATGCTTGGAAGTGTCTTAAAACGCGCTGGAAATAGAGATGGAAATCTCGAAAGATCAGACGGCTTTCGGCAATTTCCAAAGCTGTGTGGTTTTAGCCAGACCTGAAAACCCTTCCTAGAAGTTTATTTCGGGGTATTTTGGTATGTTACTTTCACTTTTGGGCCCAGCTAAATCCAGGAAGCTCAGAATAGTGTAATTTTAAAATAGAGAATAAACACACCCACCCCGAGTATTGCTGAACAGATCAGGAAAATTCGTGTTTGGTTTCTCACAAAGGAAGAATTCAGGCCAGCCCAGGGTTTATCCTAATTCAGTCTGGGTTTGCCCGAAATTATTACTCTTTTTGAGAAAATAAGAGATCCATTCTGCGGTCTTTCCATAATGCCATGACCAGCATGCAAGGGTCCGAATCAGAAGATGCCAGCAGGAGGCTAGAGACAAGTGCAGTGGGGAGAGGCAGCCAGCACTGAGCAGGAAGGAGCAGGATGGCCTCAAGTACATGCCTGGCCTCTAAAAACACAGCTAGAAGCAGATCCTCTATAGTTATGTGTGGTGGAGGCATTGGGGTCTGCCATGTTGCCATTTTTTTTCTTGTCTGTTCCTTCTTAGAAAGACCTTACGGCCATCTCAGAGTGTCCAGAAACAATATCTGAGTCTGTGGTATCTCTCAGCTCAACTGTGTGCTTCTTTTCAGGAAGGGTACTGGGAAGAGTGGGAAGGGACATGGTGTCTTCCAGTTAGACAGCCAGAGTGAAGAGGTGTATATCAAGTGCCTTGCAAGAGCCAAAAAGGTTTGTTTAAAGAAGAATTACAGCCTGTGGTGTAGGCTGTCAGGATTGAATTTATCGTATACAGGTGCAGCTGCAGAATTCTCCATCCACATTTTGCCCGCATTTAGTTGTGAGCCTTCCATAAATACAGGATGAATCACAGAATGGCTTAGGTTGGAAAGGGCCTTAAAGATCACCTAGTTCCGACCCCTGCTGTGGACAGGTTTGTCACCCACCACATCAGGCTGCCCAGGATCTCATACAATGGCCTTAGGCAGCTCCCAGGAAAATATCTAACAATAGCCCATGCTTGGTGGGCTTAAGTCAAGGTGGGGCTCTACAGACAGAAAAAAAGCCATAGCATCACCAGACCCAGAGTCTTGGCTCCAAACGTTTCCATATAATGGGTGTGTTGTGAATTTCCAAAGTCTACCACCATTTTGCTTCCTCTGCAGCCATGAGTTGAGCAGCTTGTGTTTGGTGTTGGCTGTCACTGTGCCACTGGGGCTGCTGGAAATGATCACCACATCCACAACTGTTGGAATTTGGCATTTATTTGTTAATAGCAATACACTGGGGGGAAGCTGTTAAATGTAGTGTCTCGCAAACTGAGGATATGTTGGAGTAAAACTTGTCATTTCTCTGTCTAAAAGTGTCCAAAGTCTTCAATTTATGGAACGATGGTTTTAATGGCAAGGATCCATGTTTGGCATCAAAATTTATGAAATTTGTAGAGTTTCTGTCTCAACTTGTGAAATCTACTGTCTTGAGATGGTGGGGAATTTGTAATGAAGATATTTCTATGTTTCTATGTTATTTTAAGCTAAAAAGTTTAAGGAGAACTGAGCTGAATGGAAAAGTAACCGCTTCCCAGTGGTGTGCTGGTGTTGAAGAGGACACAGGCAAAGTGGCAAGTTGGAAGCCTACTCTTTTTTAATGTGTTCAATGTTTGTATCAGTTCAGATTTTCTTTCAGTGACTTGGTTTGCTCTGGAATTAGAGATGAAGTAATCTTTTTTTTTTTTAAAAAAAACATTTTTTTCACCTCTTCAAGCATCTTGGAGTCTTCTGAATAAATCTGCTCATCGTTGTTTGGTTTTAATAGGAGAAGCACCAGTTGGGTTGTAATGGTTCCTTCCAGAGGGGATTGAGTAGCACCAGAGATCGTCTTAGCTGCTAAAATGCTTGATGCTCCAAGCCTGAGTGCATTGGATTTCTGAGAAAATTCGCCACCTGAAAAATACAATCTGGTTTGAGATGAGCTGGGTTAGTCCAGGCCTTCCTGTCAGGTTCTTCTGTATCAGGAGCCTGGAGTTCCCCATCAGCCCTCAGGTCAGGGATGCTCGGGGCTGTCAGGAATGAACTAGAAGTGCTGAGGTGTGGAGCACTGATAAGCAGCATAGAGGTGCAATCCCAAACATGAGACCTGTGGGAGACAGGCAGGGGTCTCCCAGACATGCTCTTCTTGTTCTTTTCATTCCCTTCCTCCTCTTTGCAAATGTATCTTGCTGCTCTGCTGCTTCCAAAGCCGCCCAGGCCGTGCTGATAAAGAACTCTGTGATGCATCTGTTTTCCAACAGCTTGCGTTGGTTTTCTGGTTTGTTTTTTCTTCCCCCTATGCATAAGAAGTGTTGGGTAGCAGAATGTGGATTTCATTAGAAGTTCATAAAGCAGGGACCTCAGAAGGATGTGGGTATAAATGCTTTTCAGGCATCTGAGGTGAACTTTAAATGGAGCTTTGGCCCTCATTTGCTTTCTGCTTTTCAAATACCATTTATGAGAAAGCGGAGCTGTCAAAGCCATGCATGAACTTTGCCTTCTTGTGAATAACTTGTCTCCAATTGTCAGAATGCAAAAGAAACTTGTCTTGAAGTAAATTCGGTAGCTCCACAAAGCTATGAGTGTGTATGCATTTATGTGCAGCTTGGTGGGTGCAGGGAGCCACTCTGCTATTTCAGAGATTTAAAAAACACAATGCAAGTGTTTTCAAAAAGAGCAATTAAAACATTTTATTTGTTGGCAAAAGTACATCAAACCGCATCTCCCATCGTTCTTTTAATTGCTTCGTGCTTGTTTGTGTTGCCTTCATCTTTGCTTGCCTTTTTCCTCTGCAGCACAGCCCAGAGCCTCACACAGCCCCTCTGGCAGTAAAGGAGTGGGGAGGAATGGGAAATGGGGTGTTAGGGGAAGGGCAGCACGGCACAGTGGGAGCCATTGTCACTTTTTAGCTTGTTGAGGTAGCTCTGTCCTCATCAGAATCAAAACTTCCCATATCCTAACTTAAGACCCCAAATCTTTGTGCAAGGAAATGGAGGTTGGAAGCCCTGCCCTTCTCACCCTGGCTTGGGCAGTCCTGTGAACACTGCTGGTGGTTTATTAACAGCAGCATCACTGCTGGGGTCAGGCAAACACTGCAGCGTTTCGGTGGTCACCCACTGCCAACCCCTGAGACCTCATGTCAGCGCAGTCTGAAACACTTCTCTTAACCTGTGATGTCTTCATTCATCTCAAAGCCGCTCCTCGTCCTATGGAGGTGATAAATAGTAGGAAACTGACAGTAGGACCATGTGCGTAATGCTAGATAGGCTTTTATTTAATGTTGTTTTAACGAGATGCATTTAGGACCCGTGCTGTATTGGATTAAGGATATTGGTGGAACAGTTGAACTGGTATTCCTTAACCTTTCCCTCTGCCCTCTTCATTCAAAAGACAAAATAGATTGGGAGAATGTATTTATCTTGAAAAAGAACCCACAACCCTGTTAGTAAAATACATTGATCTTTACTACGCTTCAGTTTTATTTCTCAGGATATCCAAAGGTTTATCACTGCTGCTGAGAGAAGGGGACAGTACACCTTTTTGAAACTTCAACCACTGTAACCCATTTTCCAGATGTGTGTGTGCGTGTGTGTGTGTGTTCAACTCAGCACTGCGTGTGCGTGTGTTCTGCTGATTATTGTGTGCATCTATGAAATGCTTCAAACAACTGCCTGGAAGTCAAAACCAACCACCTCTTTCCAGTCATGTTTGCCGTGACTTTTCATAACCACACTTGAACTAGTGGTCTTGGATTAAATATTCAAAGAGCAGGGCATCTTTATAGCAATGGTATGTCAGTCAAATTAAGAAAAATGTACACAAAAATAAATAAATTAAATTTAAAAATGACGCGTTGTCAGCCTACCTGTATTTACCTGCTGGAAGTGCTACAGTAGACTCTGGAATGGTTGCTGGGAGCACATTTTGTACTGCTTTTGCTATTCATATGGAAGGTTTTTAAGGATCAACTTACTTGTAACAGCTTATCATCGGGAATGCTCAAGCTGCTCTACAGAAATAATCGCATTTCGGCAGACGCATCCACATCCCGTCCAGCCCACATCAAAGCATGAGCCCCGGCCCTGCTGTGGCTCTGGCAGACGCTGGGGGACCAGAGGAGCCGGCTTCCTGCCCCCCAGAGCAGCTTTGCAGCCCGGATGGGGTGCAGTGGGCTGCAACCCAGTGGCCAGCATGGACCAGGGGTGCAGGTCTTGAGCAAGGGCCCGTCTTGATGCAGCCCCCATACGAATCAGCTGCAGCACTTGGTCCCACATCCAACCTGCAGTTCCACGCTAGCCCCATCACTGTTATCTGCATTGGAGCCTCGTGTTTCTTTAAAGGTTAGTGATGCTTTTGCCATGATGCAAAGCCAGTTTTCACCCTTAATTTATTGGCTGAAGTCACATCGCATTTTGCTTGAGGAAAGCTTGCTGGTCTGGGTCATGCTGAAACATGAACAGCTATTTCCCTCTTTCTCACATAAATAAAACGATGCTTCCATTTATTTAGGAATTGCTGAAAACAATATATCAGCTCCCTCTGTTGACCCTGCAGTCCCAGTTAAGGAAAAGCACTGGTTGCTGAGCTGATGCACTAAGGAACAAACTAAGGAAAAGTATCCTACTTAGTATGATCACTTTTCAGGGGCACAAGAGAGGAACTGATCTTCATTACATAGCAGTAAACCATGTCCTGGGCTGAACAAGTTCAGATTGCAAGAGGACATTACCATGCCAGTGACATGGAGATGGCTATAAAAACATCTGAAGGGGAGAGCTGGAAGAGGAACATCAGCAATTCTGGGAATCCTAAGCAAAACAGCTGTTGAAGCTTCATCCGCACTGTGCATGTGCACGTGGATGTGTGTTCTGCTTAAAAGAAATTAAGAGCCTTACTTTCATTTTATCAAATGAAATTACCCTTGTATGTTCAGAATATTTATGCATAAGTACTCTTTTTTTTTATTATTAGAGCTTTATCTTACTGTAATCAATTCCAAATACAAAACTATTTTTATTGCTGAAATGCAGCAGTAATTTATAAGATGTACATGGAATGCACAGGAGATGCCAAAAGCAATTTTATGGAGCCTCTTTTGTTGTCATCTACAATGCATCAGTTCTTGCCTTTGGCCTCCCATCAAATTTGAAACGCCCAGGACAAAATAAATAAATAGATAAATAAGGGTAAGCGTACTGAAGTAGCTGCCAGCCCCTAAAATAGTCTAGAGATATGAGTGCACCTTTGGGATAGCTTTTGGTTGAACACAGAACAATCGTGTAAGCTGACCTGAGCTTTGTAATGCAATTATTTTTGTTGGCAGAATGGTAGATCTTGTTCCCTCTGTGTCCCTTGCTTCCCATATAGTATTTCACTCATTTTCAGAAAAAGAAACTGTAAAATAAGATCCTGCGTTATCACAGCTAACATCATGTTGAAATGAGGAGTGAAAGCTGAAGGTCTGCAGCTGAATGGGAATGCTGACCTGGACAAGTACGAAAAGGCTGAATTGCCTTGAAGTGGTCACACAGCCACACAAGACAGTGATGTTGTACTCATAGAGGGATTTCAGTACCTTCTAACAATGGTGACAAATTTGCTACTGGAGAGTTTCTAAAGTCCTCAAAGCTAGGAAGAGGTGGCTGCTGAAGCGCTTTGCCTGATGACCCTACAAGTGGGAGAATCTGTACAACTGTGTGGGTAAGTTTATCTTCATGTGCTACAAGAGTGATCAGCCTCTGGCACAGCAAGGCACTCAGTGATCAACCTATGACACATTCCTGCCCCCTGGATCTGTCTTTGTTTTGTGTATGCATGGTGCTTGCTGGAGATGGATGGAGATGATAAGCTGTTGAAGCACTGTTTGCAGACATCAGAGATGGCAAAATCAAAGAGTGATGTTTCACAACTCTTCTTGCTAAGGGTAGCCTTGATTATCTAGAATCTGGCTTCATACCTGACTTTTGCTGGGAAACACTTCGGCCTGACAACTAACATCTTCCTGATGTCCCTCCCAGGTGAGCAGCCCAGCTCTGCTCAGCAGGACCTGAACAACGAGCAGGATTTATCTAGCACATAGCACTGCTCAGACACAGCCCTTGCTGCTGCATTTCCCTGTGGCTGAAACAAGGCACAGGAAATTGAGCAGTTGGGTTTTATATATAGGGTGTTTTGAGAGCATTTGAGGCGACCCACGCTTGTCTTGGCATGAGCTGCTCTGCCCTCTTCTCTGTGTCATGAACAGCATGCTTGTAGCTGGCCCAGGCACAGCAACGCAGTGTTCTGCCTTCTCTGTCTTCTCTTTGTTTCTCCTATTTGGGACTTCTTCTGGGCAAGCAGCAAGATTTGCTTCCAACACACCCATGCCAAAGCCCTCAGCTGTCTCCTTGCAGCCTGCAGCAGTGGCAATGGCCATTCTCCTGGCCAGAAACTGGCTCTGGCCTGGAGAGCCGTCATTCTTACGTTCTGGAATGTCCCTGTTCCTGCTGTAAAGCCATGTTTTAACACTGCAGGACGCTGCTGGTTGATGTTCTGGCTCTCTGGTGCTGGAGAAGCCTGGGATGATGCTGAAAATGAAGTATTACAGAGTTCCATAAGAATATCTTGTTTCTAGAGATGATGTTATTTACCGATGTAAAAGATATGCCTCTATAATCCTAAGTTTGATTTGCTTGCCAAATCCTACTGATGTTGTGAGAGGAATAAGTACTTCATTAAAAAAACATGCAATTTTTAATACCTGATGACTGATTTTAGTACATTCGTGTTACTACTTCTTTTCCAACTTACGCTGTAGGTGTTAAAAATAAATGGAAGAACATTACAGCGTGCTCCCAAATTACTAAAGGGAAACGTTACTGAGACTCCTTTCATGTTTGCATACTGCCTTCACGTTAGAGCGCTTTTGGGAAATTATTGTTATTATTATTTATAGCAATAACAAATCCCTCGTGGAGGTATCGCTCCTAAAGCATTTTGCACGCAGATGACTTCAGGCCTCAGCGCTGTGGCTCTCAGCTAGGTTGGGAGATGAAGGCCAAGATTCGCTGATTGAGATCAGATGGCTGGTGGCGAGAAGGAATCTAGATGACTTAACTGGAGGGATTAAACTCAAGTCTTTTGGCTTCCATTTGGCTGTTTTATAAACTGCTCCGCGGGGCCAGCCCGTCGGGCTGCGCTCCCCTCGCTGCGGGTGTGTGATGTTAGCACGGCGGCTTGGAGCTCCAGCCCGGCGGTCGGCGTTCGCCGCCCAGACATTCTGGGTGAGAAAAGGGAAGGCAGGAGAGCAGAAAGCTAAAATTAGTCCCGCAGCACCCAGCCACGCACCTCAGCCTGCCCTCCTGCTGCTTCCCGGGCTGTGGGGTCATGATTTGGGATCATCCCCACGCCGACGCCTCTTGTCCCGCACGCGGGCTGAGAGCTGGGGCATTGGTGACCCCCCAGCCATGCACCCCCAGCCACACGGGGGGAGATGGGGCTCCCTCGTTCTGTCAGAACCCTAATCTTTGCTTTTACAGCACTGATTGAAACCAAGAGTGGAAAGAAAAAGTCAGAGCCGCTCTGTTTTCATTCCCCTCCCTTCCATTATCTCCTTGCTTTTCCATCCATCCTCATTTCGCGTGCCTCTCGGATTGTGTCCCCCAGGTCTTCCAGTTATTTATTGACCCAGACCTAATTCCTTGTTTCCAGAAATGTATCATGAAGGCTGCCTTTGAGTCGCTCGTGTTTTGCTCTCCAGGCTCACCTCTTTGACCATGTTTTCCTGTAAGAGATAAGGATGTGGAGTTTGTGGAGTAATCGCAGCAGGATGCCTGGGTTTCATTCATAGATCCATTGCCACTGGCTCATTATGGAAAATCAGGAGAGTTTCACCTTTCAGTGCCTCACCTCGGTGTCACCATCTGTAAAACAAGGCTAATAATTGTTATCTCTTCCTTGCAGGAGAACTGGGGAGCTTTGCTAATAACCATCTGCTAAATGTTCTCAGAGCCCCCACATGAACATTTCTACTGAAGTGCAAATTATTATTAGAAACCAGGGATTGTTACTGGATTGATATCAAATCATTGTCGACAGCTTCTCTGCAGGGAAAACTTAGGCGCAGCCAACAAGAACAAGCTGCATGTTTTGAAGTTGTGCAGTTGATTATATTGGCTTTCATCTTCTGGTAAGAGGATCCTCTGCCATCTGAACTCTCTGATCTCTGGGAACACAATTCATCCAATCAATCTGGAGGAAAATAAACCTCCTCAGACAAAAAATAAAGTATCCACCTGAGATCATACGAAGATGGAGGATGTCAATTAATTCCCAGCCCCCAGTCGTTAACTCTTGTGAGTCCAGGGATTTTCTGACCCACCAGGCAATGCATAAGAGAACACCTAATGCATCCATTACACAGGCTCGATATCACAAAGAGCCTGTGGGTCTGCCTGGGCTGCACTAATTGAAAACATGCAAATATTTTACAGCAAAATCAGTGCCACTGAAGGCTTGTATGCACTGTTGGAAGAATGCTTGCTGGTCTCATGCTAGCAGACAGAACCCAGAGGTGCCAATAGGATTTCAGCCAAGTCGCACCGATGCCTTCCCACAGAGCCACAGCCTTGTACCCAGCTTGGCCTCCCTTCCTTTTTGTGTATGGGCCCCTCCGTTGTGTTTCTGCTGAGCTGAAAAATGAGAAAGAGGATTGCTGGAGGCTGCAACCCATTATTGGTACTCAGTAAGTGCACTGTCATTAGGAACAAACAGCAGATGCAGGGCTGGAAATGGGGATAATGACAAGGACTGTGCTGGAAGGACCTGAATGCTTGGGCCTCTTATGGCACTATAACTGGTAATATTTAACT